TTTGATGTTTTTAATGTTTTTATCTTTACTTTTCATCTAGTTATTAACTTCTTTTTATTTCTCTTTCACACTGTCTATGTAAAGCCGCCCCGGAAAATGTCCCAGGTCAACGAATCTATATCTAGGGGTGTGAGAATCCTTGTTAAATGACGTTTAACTAAAGTCCTACGGGGTTTAGAGTCCCAGTTGACGGCGTTTCAACTAAAAACCTAGAGGTTGGAGTCCTTGTCAAACGGTGTTTTTGACTAAAGTCCCAGAGGATTTGAGTCCCAGTTAAACAACATTTAACTGAAGTTCTAAAAGGGGTTTTAATGTTTTTATCTTTTTTAATCTTTTTCAAAATGTCTTTCTCACTTTTTTTTCAATGTCACATGCTGTTTTTATTTTAATTATGTGAAGCACTTTGAAATGCCTTGCTGCTGAAATGTGCTATACAAATACAATTTGATTGATTGATTGATTGATTGATTGATTGATTGATACTGGCAGCGCCGTCCAGAACTGTGGTCAATGTAGTTCTGATCGGTAATTATGAAATATTACTGAGGAATCAATATTTTGTTTTTATTTTAAAAAAAATAATTTCTTTCTGATGATATGCAGAAAGCATATTTTTAGTATACTGCCTGTATGCTTTGGATAAACATGTGTTTCTGTCTACTGTCACATTCACCACTATCCTCTCAATGTTTGGATTTTTTCTTAAAATTGGAAAGATTTTTTTGTTGTTTTGAAGGTTCAAAGCAACACAGCAGGTAAAATACTCACCATGCACTCGAACCAGGAAATCTTTGTCATCATCTCCTGCTGGACTGTTTGCTAAGCAGCTGTATCTGCCTGTGTCCTCCAACTGTGGAGGAAAAAGTTAATTTTTTAACATTTTTACAATAATACAACATATGCTGTGACAAAAAGAGGTAGGATTTCACAGTTTAAATCTGGGGAGACCCACCTGTGCTGCGGTAACACGGAGTATCTCTCCCCCATGGAGAAGATGCAGGTTTTCTGTCTGTGGGAGTGGGCGTTCGTCCTTCAGCCAGGTCAAAGTGGGTGTTGGGATACCGGTGGCCTCACAGAGTAACTCCAGGACATTATTCACCACTACAGAAACCTCTTCTGGTTGATCAGAGCTCCTGATGCGCGGAGGATCTGAAAAAGTAAGCAAAATAAAACTAAAACAAAAGCTGAAAAGAAAAAATAGAAGGTAGAGAATAAAGTTTGCTTTCACTTACCCAGAACGTTTAGGTTAAAATGGCGGCTTGCTTGACCAGCATTGTTATTAGCCACGCAGCTGTAGCGTCCTGTGTCATTAACTTGGGCCTGGCTGAACCGTAAGGTTGTGTTAAAGCCCAGGAGACTGATTCTGCGGTCAGCCGTTAACGTTTCTCCATCTCTGAGCCAGGAAATGGTAGGAGTTGGACTCCCATCAGCAACACAGAGCAATGATGCCAAATTTCCTCTGATGACAGTCACATCTTCTGTGGTTCCTGCTCCTTCCAGACCAGGAGGAACTGACGGTGAGAATTTAAAAGCTCATTACCGGCCGGTTCTTCATTTCACCTTGAGAAACCTAAACGTATGAACAAATACACTTACCGTGAACCTGTAGGTTGTACTGTCTGTTGTCCACTCCTGCTCTGTTAGATGCCACACATGTATAGCTTCCACCATCAGACACTTGGATTCGGTTTATCCTGGTACACAAAGGGACAAAATGTTCCATCATGAACACTTTCATATCTACAAATGACTACACTGTAGTTCAAATGTTTGAACAGTAAATACATCCACAACCCTTGAACTTGTTTGTGTTCGATACATTAGAAAATCTTTGAGTATTATATGTCTATTTTTTGTCAAAGAACAACAGAATGGAACATAAAGGACAAAGGCAACCACCTGCCTTCAAAATGTATCTAAATAGATAGCATCTGTGTGTAATTTAAAGCATAATTTTAAAAAAATTGTTTTTTTTTTACATATTTATTAAAGCTGTCACTATGTTGTGACAGTCTGTGAAAAAACAAAAATCTAGCTTCTCTGGTTCCTTGTGCCAAAATGTGAAAAAAATTCAAGTGGGAACTTTTACAAGGCATTGGAAACCTATTATTTAATGATTACAGCTTTTACAAAAACACATTCTAAGATAACGGCTCTTTTTACAAATATATTAAACACAATATTTCAGACAACATCTTAGGCAAAAATCCCCAGAAAACTAATAAGCCTTCTTTATGTTCCCTGACCACTGACCCACCGGAGAACTTGTCCGGCAGAGAGAAGTCGTATGTTGGAGGAGACTGGGAGAGGCAGCCCGTTCCTCAACCAGTTCAGTTGCGGCCGAGGTGACCCAGTAGCAACGCATTCGATACTGACAGAACTGTCCAGAACAGCGGTCTGATCCTCACTGCTGCCGAGAATGGATGGAGGAACTGAAAGAAGACAAATTTGAGGTCAAGCAATAGATCACATATACACTTTTAAGTTTACAATAAGGAATTAAACCCACCATATACATGTAAATTAAATATTCTGTCCTCTTCTCCAGCAGCATTAGAGGCCACACAAGTGTACTTTCCACTGACAGCAGGGTCCGCTTGGGTCACGGTTAGAGTATCACCATGTGGACTGACCCTAGAGGAAAAGACAGAGATGTTTTACATTTTTAACACATTAAAAGCAGAGAAACCAGTGACTGTGGCTCTGTGGGAAGAGTAGTCGTCTTGTGATCGGAAGGGTGCAGGTTTGATGCCAGCTTCCTCCTGCCACATGTCGATGTGCCCTTGGGCAAGGCACTTAACCCCAAATTGCCTATCGATCTGGGTATCGGTGTATAAATGTGAGTGCAAATGGGTGAATGTGACTCTAGTGTAAAGTGCTTTGAGTGGTCCATATGATTGGAAAAAGTGTTTTATAAGTTTAGTCCATTTACCATTTAAGTATTGTTGCCAGACAAGATTTGCAAAACTTATAACTTCAATGCAAAATAATAAATAAAAAAATTCCAGTTTGCATTTTGCATATATCCCATGCTATGGTTAAATTCAGAGCATTCAGAATTTCACAACAGGTTTTTATTTTTAAGAAAGAAAAACCCAAACCCCTAAAAACTACACTAAATACTTATTTTGATGATTGTTTTTAATAATTATGGTAATTTAGGTCTGGATGACCTGTCCCACTCAAGGAGTGGTTTGACAAGAGGTTATTTGCCACAAAGTTAAATCTGTGGGAGGACAAAGCAGCAAATTTATTTCCTCAAAGCTACACATCTTCCTACATCAAGTGCAGTAAGCCATGCTGTGAATTACTGTAATCTGTCTGCAGCATAAGGGTGCAAAAGTTCAGACAGGTAGGCTAATGACATACTACCAAGGCTATTCAAACACCTGGGGGTTGTACATTTAAGTACCTGAGACCTTTGAGTTCTGTGCTGTTGATGGCTTCTCCATCTTTCAACCACTGGATTGTCGGAGTCGGAATTCCCTGAGCTTCACAGACCAGCTCAATGCTCTCATTCACAAGGACTCCCATCTCCCTGGGCATTTCTGATCCAGAGATACTGGGTGGGACTAAGAAGAAATTATTAGGTTAAGTGCAAAACAGCTGACAGATATTAAATATTTGCTGTGATAACAAAAACTATTTAATTTATTCTTTTAAGCTATTCTACTAAGGGATTCAAATCAGCCCAAGGTTCATAGTAATGATGTTTATGTACCTTGCATAGTGAGGTGGTAACTCTTGTGTGCTTTGCCCTCAACATTAGAGGCCACACATGTAAAGGTCCCACTGTCAGAAAGCTGCAGCCGTGCTATCTGTAGTTTGCTGCCTCCTGAGAAGATGTTCATCTCCAGAGACTCAGAGTTCTCTAAAGGAAATATAAAGTTTCCATAACTGTGATTACGCACATAATTAGACTGATTGTTTTAGGTCTGTTAGGATTACAACAGTTATCTATATTTACTAACTTTCAGTCAAAAAGTTTACATGTTACATAAGTTTTTCTTACCATTTAGTGTTACTGATTATTAACCCGTATGACTTAAGTCGTACACTGTCTGGATATAATCACAGTACCTATAGTGTGTCCATTTTTCAGCCACGTGAGACTGGGTGGAGGGATTCCATTAGCATCACAAGTGAAAGCAACTGGGTTGCTGATGGTTTCCACAACATTCTCCTCTGCTGGGCCGTCGATACTGGGAGGAACTGAAGAGTTAGAACTATTTGTTATTGTGCCGCGAATGAAAAAGCACTTTCAAACACCTGCTTTAGCTGTTTTTGAAATCTATACTCTACCATGAATATTCAAGTTGAAGTTCTTGTTCACTTGGCCAGCAACATTTGAGGCCATGCAGACATACTGGCCTGTATCAGACACCTGCAGAAAATAAACTGTTGCATAAAAACTTTGCATATTTTTGCAAATACAAATGATCCCTGCACATATAAGAGGCATTAGACAGTGTCTTGCAAAAGTATTAATGCCCTTTGAACTTTCAGATTTAAGAATGTCTATTCATAAACATTATCCATTCAATCTGAATTAACTTGAGCTACCTTGCACAGAAATTTAAGTCTCTATATGTGCAAACCATACTCACAAAGGACTTAAACCTCTAATTATGCAAAAGGTAATTCTACAAAGTATGAACCCTATGTTTATTTGTGAGACATTTTAAGGTCCATGTATCCTTTCCCTTCCACATCAGTTATGTGCTACTTTGTGTTGGTTTATCACATAAGACCCAATGAAATACAACAAAGCTTAAGGCTGCAATGTAGCAAAATGTGGGACATTTCAAGGGGTGTGCATACTTCTGCAAGAGACTGTTTTTAAGTAGTAGGTATTTACTATGATTCCATAATTAATAGAATAAAGAAGCCAACATTATTTGTGTCACCTCAGAGCGCTTGATCTGAAGCATTTGTCCCCCTGGCAGAATATGTATGTTTGTTGTTTCTGTCACCACTCTGCCATTCCTGTACCAGGTGATAATGGGAGGAGGGACTGCGTTGGACTCGCACTCCAAAGTTACAGATTTCCCAACAAGAACATTAACCTCCACAGGCACGTCTCCACTGTTGCCCCGGATACTTGGAGGTACTGGTGAGGCAAGGAAAATTAAAAATTGTTCAGTATGAAATAAACCCAAAAACCGAGAAGAATCTGTAGAAAAGAAATGATGGGCTTACCATAAACAGTGAGATAGATGTGTTTGTGAGCCTGTCCTGCTGCATTTATGGCCACACAGCTGTACTTTCCACCATCAGACACTTTAGCTTTAAGGATCTGTAAAGTACGACCACCTGAAGAGACAAAAGGACACAGACATGTTCAGAACCTTATGTCATATTCTGTTGCAAGAACATAAATACTGTACTTCTCTTTTATTCGTGACTGATAATAATTTCAGTACCTGGCATGATGAGGGCATTACTTTTAGGCTGTATGGGTCCCCTGTCATTTAGCCAGCTCAGGGTGGGAGGAGGGAAGCCGCTAGCTTCACAGGTGAGGGACACAAAGTTGTTCACCACCACCGTCACATTCTCTGGACTCACACCAACAATTGTGGGAGGCACTGCAAAAAAAAAAGAAAAGAAACATGCAGTAATCCAAGTCATTGTAAAAGCATAAAAATTTCAGTCAAGTCATAGTCTTCATATTAAAATTACATCCAATTCACAAAGCTAAAAGGCAAATCAGAACAGCCTCTAATAGCTTACCATGAACGTTCAGGTTAAAGTGTTTCTCTGCACTTCCAGCTACATTTTCAGCCACACACACATACTGTCCTGTTTCAGAAACTTGAGCATTTGACACCTGAGGGAGACAAAAACTGCTTAAACATCAAGATTAATGCAACAGTATCAATGTTAAACAAAAAACTATTGTGCTTAAACAAAACTATAAAAACATGAAAAAGATGGTGACTCTCAGGTCTGAAATCATTTTTAATGCAGTGTGTTTTTGGAAAAAAAAAAATTGTGACATTGCAGAATAAATTTCTGGAATACTCAAATTGTCAAGCCGGGATTAAAATTTTTATTGCATGATGAAATCGTAGCTGAACAAGCGACTGTAGGGTGTTTGCTTATATATTTATGCATTTCCTGGTCGTTACCTTTAATGCTCGTCCATTAGACAGAATACTGCGTGGTCCGCCTGAATTCATCACCTGACCATCTTTAAACCAGGTGATCTTGGGCGTTGGGGTTCCATCCACGTGACAGTCCAGTTGGCCAGTTTTGTTGACCAGGACAATGACTTCTTCAGGCACATCATTGTCTGATCCTCTTATGCTTGGAGGTACTAATGCAGTAAAGACACAAAAAAGCTTGAAATTGTAGAAAGATTGTGCACAAATCCTTATACAACCTTTGCAAAAAGGTGTTCTAAAACCTTAACATAATTCGTTGTAATGGAGACTCTGTTCTTCTTTGGTTGATATCTCCAACAGAGAGCTTTGGGAGTTTTTAGTGATGCTGATTGGCTGCACAACCATAAGTAAAGTGGAAAACTTTAGAAGTTAGCTTCTAAAGCTAACTTCTATGGCATATCTGGCGTATTTGGTGCTTGAACTATTAAACTAGGTAGTTATAAGAGTTTTTAAAGGGAATCTGACTTACGCAGTTATAAGACTTGTCACCAAATTAATTATATGACACAAAAGTCTGTAGAAAGCTATGCAAAATCCATGAAAATTAGTCACTTCTGGATCTGTACCAAAAATAAACCCTCACCCAGCACTCTGACGTTATACTGGATGGAGTCTTCTCCTGCTTCATTGATGGCCACACAGGTGTACCTGCCAGAATCTTCAAGCTGCGCCCTGGGAATCTGTAACACCCTCCCACCTGAGAACCAGACAGCATGGGCTGTTACATGTAAGCTTTGCTTTCTTGTTTCCTTATTTTATTATTGCTAACTTGACTCACCGGGTAGGATCAAAACTTTATCATTAGAGGTAAGGAGCTTCCCGTCTTTGTACCAGGTGAGGGTTGGAGGGGGTACAGCATTTGTCTCACAGTACAGAGAGACTGGATTGTTAAGTATGACATCACGAGGATCCCCTCCAAAACCTGGGATTGATGAAGTATCCCTGACTCCACCAGGCCTATTGAAATGTGGAGGTACTGCAATAAATGAAAAAGAAGAAAGAAAATAAATTCAAACCCCAGTTTGTTCATTTCTTTGATGACACAGATTTTATCCCTGGAGGAGTACATTTCCATAAAATTAACCCGAGCACCAGTCCAACCAGTTCACCTTGTATATTTACATCAAAGTCCTTCTCGTCCTCTCCTGCTAGATTAGTGGCGACGCAGGTGTAGCGGCCAGTGTCTGACACTTGGGCATGTTTGATCTGAACAATGCGACCGTTGCCTATGATGGACACATGGTCATCTGCCATCAGGGCCTAAAGAAATGATAAAATTCTTTGACTGAATTTTGCTTTGAGAGAAAAAAAAGTCTTTCAGATGCAAATGGTAGTATTGTGGATTCCTACCTGTCCATCTTTATACCACTGCAGTGCTGGAGAAGGAAAGGCCTGAGCGACACATTCCAGGGTCAATGTGCTGTTAATTTTGATCTTTACCTCTTTAGGGGCAAGTCCTTCCCCGGGGATATCATTCTTATTAATCTGAGGAGGAACTTCAGTGAAAAAAGAACATATTGATCAACATATTGATCATATTTATGTTATTACAATGTTGTTATGCAGGAAACTCACCATAAACTTTGACCTCATAGTGCTTCAGAGTTTCTCCCGCCTCATTTGTGGCTACACAAGTGTACCTGCCAGCATCCTCCTTCTTGGCATTAAGAATCTGCAGCGTCCGTCCGCCTGTTAAAGAGATGTTAAACAAAAATCACATCAATCAAAAGTCAAGTTGCATTCTGCTTTTCACACTTGTAACCTCAAACCTGGGAGAACTCGAACGCTGCGAGTCGATTCAAATGGATTGCCGTCTTTGAGCCAGGTGATCAGAGCAGGAGGGTAGGACTGGACTTCACAGACCAGGGAGGTGGGGCTGCTCAGGGTCACTGTAACCTCCTCCGCAGAAATGTCAGGACCCGAACCAGCAATGGTGGGAGAAACTGACAAAAAAGCAGGGCCAAAGTCGCAGACAATCAGGTTAGGAAGAGATTAAAAAGGAGTACATTTGTTGGCACCGCTGGTAAAGATGTGTGAAAAGTTTTAAATTAATCTCCTAATGCAAAAGATTCAATTTTGAAAACATTTATTCAGAGACCAAAACAGTTTTTAAGACAATCACTTGTGGAATAATTACTGGTATTCAAGAAGTTATGAATGATTAAACCACTAACTAATGTTATCATAACATTTATAGTATTAAAAGGTTACTATTACATATTATTTACTTTTTTTTTACTTTAAATCATGTTATAAACTTATTCCCTCATCAAAAACATTGTTGGCTAACAACTAAAGTTAACACAGTGACTCGAATGTGCTATGAAACTATGTGACTGAAAAATACATAATATTGCCCCTTTAATTAATGGGGCAATAATAATAATGGGGCAATATAAGGCATATTTGTTAAAAAAGAAAAATAAATCACAAATCACACTGTTTATTTGGAATATAAACTGAATGTGAATCAGATTTAATAAAAAAGAGTCCAGGTTAAGTTTTTGAGGATCAAGTCTGGTCAAGTTTCAGATTATTTACTCCAAATTCAGGTAGAAATAAACTTTTTGTCATAAAACGGATGATAACTAGTGAACCTATTATCCAAGATCCAGGAAGTTTTTAAACTTTGTGAGAAACTGTTTACAACTGAGTGGAGCATCATATTTATATTCCCCAAAGAAACAGAAAGTTGGGGAATTGCAATAACAGCAACACTAGAAATACAGATCAGCATAGAAAAAGTTTGACATAAATCATTTTTACATGTTTTGACCAGAGGTGCCAACCGACGTGTCTGCTTCTATATGCATGTGTTCATCAAAATGTACTTAGCTCAGCAGGATAAATGTTTCAGACATGAATTAAGATAAAGTGCCTTCATACCCAGAACATTGAGGTTGAAATGCCGTCTGCGTTCTCCTGCGCTGTTTGATGCCACACAACTGTATCTTCCAGTGTCTGCAACATGGGCTTCAAAGATCTGGAGGAAACGGCCATATGACGCGATCTGCTGTCGTCTGTCAGGCACCAACAGCTGCCCGTCCTTCAGCCATTTAATCTCTGGTGGAGGGTTACCTGGCAATAAATTTAAACAATTGCACAGCTGTAAAGTTAAGAATCTTTTTTTTTTTTTTTTAAATGTGGCTTACATTACAAAGAATGTGTAATTTACCTGATGCTTCACAGGTTAGAGTGACATTTTGGGATTCTTTTACTTTAGTATCCACGACCGTTCCCTCCTTCACAATACTTGGAGGAACTGCCAATGAAACATCCAACGTGTTCATAATTTTGCTTGAAATTAAACTAAATAATTATTATAATGCAAATAGGTTATGGTTGTAATGCGACTTTCATCTGAAAATCCTCAAGAAATTCACTTTCTTCACCTAGAATGTCAAGGTCAAAGTTCTTCCTCTCTTCTCCAGCGCTGTTGGCGACAACGCAAGTGTACCTCCCAGCATCCTCCACTGCGGTGTGCAACAGACGGAGACTACGCCCCCCTACAGGTTAAACAGATCGTATTAAAATCTGACTCTTTGCCACCATAAACAGACACCATGCAGGAATACCTGCACATAAAATTGATTCTGTCTGAAGTGCATTCTTGTGCTCTGGAGATAATAACCAGTTAACACTGAGAATTTGGCCTCAGATGTTAAAACATTTAAATTCCAATTTAATGAGATTCAAGCCTGACACAAGGTCATGAGAAACTGCTGCAAAAATAAGCAAATTATCTAGCAAGTTACTGAAATAACTTGCTCCCTCACAAATTAAGAGTTATATTTTTAACTTGCTTGTATTATGTTATATAATTCTAACTTTGTTTAGTGAGAAACTGCCGAAACCTGTTTCCAAGTCATCAATCTATCTGAAATGATCTACAGAAACCAATTTCCAAATTATTACAATTATGCTTTTAGTCCTCCGAATCGTATGCTGTATGGTGTAGAGTAAGAACACTTTTGACATTTCTCCAAAAATATTGGAAGGAATTTTCTGAAGTTTTTGATTTTCAACACTATTTTTCAGCCATATGACTTTATTACCATCTACAGCTCATACTTTCTGTTAACTGTAACAGTGTGAATCTCCAATGTCTTTTGCTTTAAGGAACTGGACCAAACAAAACAGACAGACAAAAGGAATGGTCTGGTCAACAGGACTTTTAATGACAAAAAGGATGGAGAAATTAGGAATGGCTGAAGAAATACAAACAACTGTAGAGCTACTTTGATATTAAGATGAGAGAAACCCATGCACAGTAAAACTCAAACTCACCGGAGACGATGCGCACCAAGCTAGTTGCCTTGACTGGCCTTCCATCCTTCAGCCAGGAGATGGAAGGCAGAGGGATACCAGAAGCCTCACAGTTCAGAGAAGCTGGGTTCTTCACCACAACACTGACGTTTTCTGGAAACTGCACCTGACCGGTTATAACAGGTGGGACTGAACATGATGAGAAAATGGTGGAAAATGATCAACAAGGTAATTATTTAATCAAACTGAAAACTGAACATGTCAATGTAAAAATCAAAACAAACAAAAAAATTATGCCAGAATCGTACCATGCACACTGACGTCATGCTTAATGTCTGCCTGTCCTGCCACATTAACAGCAATGCAGGTGTAGCGTCCCGTGTCTGACACCTTGGCGTCTTTAATCTGTAACACTCTGCCCTCGTTTAGGACCTGTGCACCATGCTGGTCCTCTATGGGCCGCCCGTCCTTAAGCCAAGTGACTGTGGGCTGTGGGACGCCCTCTGCAGCGCAAAGTAACGTCGCACCGCCTCCTTTTGTCACTGTCACATCGTTAGAGTCGTCTTCACTACGTCCGATTGAAGGACGAACTGCAACAGGACAAGATAGTTGACAATGTGAGAGAAACTGCTGATTTCACATTACTTTGAAATGCATATGCCACACTTTTTCTGAATTAAATGATGCAACATTTCATGCAAAAGAAGCTCAAGTACTGAGACACAACAACCAAAAACAATAAATAAATATTGCCTTTGAAAGAACATTATCATCATAATGGAAAATATCGGGCTCATTTTAATTAATCCTGTGATTAATTATTGTGACAGGCTTATTATGGAGTATTCTCATTCTTTGTGAATCTGAATTTTGGGATTTCAGTTGATGACAATGTACAACAAAACACATATGAGCAACTTATAGAACAGATCAATGCAGGATTTGACGTTGCTGGAGTATGCACCATAAACTTGGAGGCTGTACTCCTTTGAGGTGGTGCCAGCAGCACTGGAGGCTGTGCAGCTGTAAGAGCCTGTGTCTGTTTTCTCAGCACTGGAGATCTGCAGCTGGCGCCCTCCAGACAAAACCTTCAGTCGCTGGTCTGGGTTTAGGGTATAACCTAAAATATGCAGATAGTAAAGATCAGTTATAGCGCTTAAATGTACCTCCACATACCACGGCCTCATACACTGGTGTGTTGACTTATGCTAGCTGGCATAGATAGACTTACCATCCTTCATCCATGTAAGGCTGGGAGGTGGTATACCACTGGACTCACACAACAGAGTGATAAAACTTCCTTCGATCACAGTCATAGGAGATGCCTCCTCAGAGCCACGGATACTGGGAGCAACTGCAATGACAACAGGACACCTTAAGGAGGCACTCAAATCAAATTAAACTGGTAACTGCAAACACCTGGACTATGGTCAGTTTACACATAGCATTTCATAATTTAAAGACATTAAATCAGATTTGTTCATAAAAATTAGCCATTTTTAGCATTTTTCCTGTTAGAAGAATGAGCACAAAGTTAAACTTACCCCAAACAATCAAGTTATAGTTTTTCTCAGTTTTTCCAGCAACATTGGTGGCTTCACAAGTGTACCTTCCTGAGTCCTGCAGCTGAGCATTATCAACCTAAAAATTACATTCAGAGACATATCAGGGAGTTTGGAAAAATCAAAGATTAAACTTCCAGAATTTATGTGATAGATCAAGACAAAGTACAGTAAGTAGAAAAAAAATATGCATTGTTTTCAAAATTTCAATCAAAACATCCCCTCAAAAGCTTGGTGTGGATTTGTGTCTATAGTCTGTGAACCACATTTTCCCACAATGACAAGTTAAGTTCTTCTGGCGTACCTCACATGAAGGGACTGAAATTTTATCCTGTTCTTCTTGAGCAATTTAGCTCAAACTCAATCCAATTGGATGGAGAACTCCAATAAAATGACTTTCTATCTAACCACAGATGCAGACTCTTCTTTTGTAAGATTGTTGTAAATTTTGAACACCATTCATCATGTTCATTCCACATCACACTTTTGTTAAACGTTGTGTTGGTCTATCACATAACATCCCAACAAAATACATAAAAGTCTTTTGTTCTGTACAAGATGTACTCGTACAGAATCTCTAACAGACTCTACCTTGAGTAAACTACCATCTGCAGAGACAATTAGACCAGGTTTCCTGAAAATAGGGCGGCCATCTTTTCGCCATAAGAGAGTTGGTGGAGGCACTGCGTCGCTGTGGCAGTGCAGCTCTACTGGACCACCGAGCATCACTGTTGCATTCACTTCCTCACCCTTGATGTTTGGTGGAACTGGGTAAGACATGAGTAGATATCACTGAAAAATGTTTCCATGCCAGGCAAAATGTTCTCTCTGTATTTGATTGCTCTAATACGTTGATCATTTTTTCTCCTTCTTGGAGTGCAAAACAATGTGAATCAAGTTCAAGATTTGTTTGCAGAACTAAAGACAATTCTGAAACCTAATATCCATTGAACTGGCTTGACTACTAAAAAACAAAACACAGTGACTCAGGAAATAAAAAGTATTGCAGAGAATACCTCAAATATGAATGCACAAATATGTGAGTCTAATGCTACCCAGTTTTTGGAAAATATTAAATGCCGGATGGGGAACATAAGGTAAGTCTTCATCTTATAAAAAGAGTCTAAAACAAGACTTAATTATCTCTCCATCAGGATTAAAGAAAAGAATGCTCCTCTCTTTGTAAATCTGGCTCTGTCTGGTAAATAACTTGGGATAAATATCCTTTGCAGGATGCTTTGTTTCTACGCAGAAAGCAGGTCACTGAGAAACAACACAACAGTCTTTTCTCCTCAGGACACAGGAAGTCACTCAAAAGATGGTACCAATTAACGCAACAAATCTGCCTCTGTTTCTGAGGACAAATCCTTATTGATATTCAGCAGAACAGTAAAGCTGATGCAAAAACACACATTACCAGCGGTGAATTATTGGTACCCTTGGTAAAGATGTGTTCAAAATACTGGTTATCATTGAGACTTTGGGTGTTTTTCGATCTCCTCTGAATTCTGCTAACTATGCGTGGTGGTAAGATAAATCCCCTCATGAAGTTTAAACTCTTATAACTTTGACTGTAGACATGTACAGGTTTAAGAGGGAAGCTATTTTCTTATAGTCATTTGAGGATCACTGAAGTTTTGATTTACTAATCGGTCCTTGTATCCTGTTGAAGTTGGAGAAATGGAAACTGGTGATATGTCACATACAAACACTAGGAAACAAAGTCAAGGATTTCTTAACACTTAAACATTTTTAAACTACAATCAGAGCAATAAATAATCAGTTTAAAATAACGGTTTAAAATAATGGCAGCATCTTGGGGTGCCTAAGTTTCCATGATAACCAGGTGTTGAAACAAACCTTTACCAGGGGTGCCAATGATATGCCTCTGGTGATGTGTGTTCTCGAGTTAGCATGAGTCAGAATATTTTGTCTGAAACAAAGGCAGATTTGTTTTGTTAACTGGTGCCATGTTTTGAGTTACGTCCTGAGGAGAAAAGCCTGTTGTCTTGTTTCTGCAGTGATGTACAAATGTGTTTGCTCCATTCCTCATTTCTGATATTTTTGCATGTTTGTCAAACTTGTATGTTTCATAACTTCAAATCGCTGCAACACAAGTAAACACAAAATACAGCTTTCTTTAGAAAAATGAGCAGGTAATGCTTTCTCACCATACACCCTCAGATCGTACTCCTTTTGTTGCTCCCCTCCTGCATTAACTGCCACACAGGTGTATCTACCAGTATCACTGACCTGGGCACTGTGCAGAGACAGGACTCTGCCTGCAGATGGCAACTGAGAAAAAACAGAGCCAGAGTTGAGCTCAGGAATTTAAGCTCAGTTAACAGAGTCCCAGAGAAGGAAGCTTCTGATAACGTGACTGTATTCATAACATCGATGCTGTGAATACAACACCAAAAAGGTACAACAAATCTCACTACTCATAGATGAAAACTAGCCAGCTAAGCTTTTGATTTGTACCTGTATGCCATGTGATACACTTGACACAGGGCTTCCATCTTTCAACCATGTCAGACTGGGAACAGGAACCCCAGAGGCCTCACATGCAAGTTTTACAGCTTCATTCACCACAGCTGTAACCGTTCCACCTCTACTGGAGATTTCTGGAGGGACTGTAAGGAAAAAGATTGCACGAATGGTTGGATATGACCGTTGATAAAGTGAGAGGATTATAACGAAAGCGAAGCACCAACCAAACACTTGCAGACTGTAGACTTTCTCTGCTGCTCCTGCTAGGTTAACAGCCACACATTTGTATATTCCAGCATCAGATAGCTGGGCTTGTTCAATCTCCAGCACCTGCCCGCGCTTCCGGATCGGGACGGCAGCTGCACCAGTAAGAGGTCGGCCATCTTTGTACCATGTTACAGCTGATGCATAAAAATAAAGCAGAGAGCAGTCATGAATTATATAAAAAAAGAGAAAATAGAAAAATAAATTGCAACGATAGGCTTACAACTCATTTAGTCACGTAAGTGTAGCTCCACATACTATCTTACTGAACTTTAATAAAGTGATGAGAGTTATCAAGTCATTCAATCTAGAAGACATGCAAGGATAGAGTCATGGTAAAACATATGTAAAATTTTGCAGAATCATTTTAACCTGTGCAGGTTTTCACTTCTGAACTCATTTTTATTGCAGTGGTAAAGTCAAACTGAAAGTAAAATCAAACTTCATAAATAATTATTAATGGCAAAATCCAGCTGCCACACTTATCATTAAAATTAATACAGCTGAAGAAATTTTTCACTTAATCAGGATTTCTGCCACTTTAATTAAATCCTTAATTTTTAATAAGGTAATAAATATTAACAAAATGAATTAAATTATTAATTTAATTTATTCAATTTATAAATAAAGCTTGAGGCAGAGCCTCTTTTCTTTTAGTTACACTTCAAAATACAAATTTTCTGCCTGCATAAAATGGGTACATCTGCCACATTGACAGCCAGAGAAATACTTATAAAAGTTTAAAACAACTAGAAGTGAGAGAAGCAAACCTAGAACATGGATCAAAGAAGTGCACTGCATCGCTCACTGAAATATATATTTTTTGCTTGTTATAATTTCTGTCTAATCATTGAAAGCATTTGAAATGCCTTGTTGCTGAAAATGTGCTACACAGTCAAAATTGCCCTGTTTTTACAAAAACAAAGAGAGCTGCTGAGAACTCCAGGCTGAGAGTGATCACAGCAGGACGGTGGAGAACGTCTGCAACAGTCTCACCAGGTAATGGACTTCCTGTAGCTTTGCACTCCAGCTCAGTGGGGAAGCCTGAGAGAACAGTCTGGTTGACGACGTCTGCAGAAAGGAGGATGCTGGGAGGCTCTGAGAGAGAGATATAAAACATTTTATGCAAGAACGATGGCAGCTCTGTGTAGTTAAAATAAAGATGATGAAATAAAGATGTTCAGCAGATCCCAGGAAATAAACGACAGAAGAGGGCGGTGTGTCTGTAAATTACCATGGACACTCAGTCGAACATGCTGTTGGGCTTCTCCAGCTGCATTTGTGGCCAGACAGGTGTATCTCCCAGAATCCTCCAGTCTGGCTTCTGTGATATTTAGTGTTCTTCCTGCTGAGTGCAGCTGTGGCAGTTAAACAGGCAAAGGGTCAACAGAGTTAAGCATGGTCGTTACCCTTTATGTAGGAGCACAGGCATGAAATGTTTATTCTTTTTGCACACTCAGGATTCTTACTCAAGAACAGAACACAGTTGGCACAAATGCAAATATTTTCTCAGAGTTTTAATAACTTAAAGCATATCTTCGGTGGAAACTGTAGGAAAATTTTACCCTGTGTTACCCTTCAGATTGAGCAAATCACAAAGGAAAAAGTCATGTCACTTTGGTTTTGGATTATGACACTTAAATGCAGGGATTTTCTGACATTCCTCATAGATTCAGCATTGCTTTTCAAGACGAATACAAAGGAATATCAGAATATGATCAAAATGGCTGAGTCACTTCAAAATGTGAACTAAAATTTTAAAAAATCCTTTAAACATCAATATGTCAGTGGTTTGAATAATTTCAGGCTTGACTAGATGCAAACTGACAACAGATATTTTTTTTAAACTAAATAAAAGCCAGACACCAACCTTGAGGTGGTCTTTTGTTGTGTCCACAGGTCGGCCATCTTTAAGCCAGGTGAGACTGGGTGGAGGAGTGCCACTGGAGATGCACTCCAAGCTGATCGGTTTGTGAAGAATCACTGAGCGATCAGCAGGCCCCGTCGTACGGATAGATGGTGGGACTGCAGAATTGAACAGAATAGATTATTTTATTTTTTAAAAATTACAGTTTTTTTTATTTCACAACAATATGTGGAGCAAACAAGCAGATATTTACCCAAAGAAGAAGCTTTCCAGCAGCTTGCATTTTAATATTAAAACAAGTTATTTTTGCATAATCACTGAGATTTCGTTTTTACTCGAAGTATCTTTTCTTTATTCTGTACCTTGGACTGTCACATTGAAGTTCCTCTCGTGGTCTCCAGCCTCATTAATGGCCAGACAGCGAAAATTGGCTGTGTCAAAGATCTGAGCGCGAGAAATGATGAGCCGTCGACCGCTTGCTGCAATCCGCAATCCGTCTCCAGATCTGATTCGTTTCCCATCTTTGTACCACCTGGAAAAAAATAGTTGGCATGTTGCCTGGCTATGCCTGCTTGTTTATTTTTGACGGTGTGTTGGACTGAAGCCTTACGTGATAGCAGGTGCAGGCGTCCCAGTGGCTTGACACTCCAGCTCCAAAGGAGTGTTGATTATTACTGAGCTGTCTGTCACTGCGTCAGCTCCATCAATGACAGGAGGAACTAGGGCAAACACAGAAAAACAGTCAAATCTCAAAATAACATTTCAATCTGTAGGGCAAGTCAGACAGAGAAAACCCCAGTGAAGAAGCAGCTGTCTGTTTCCCATGACATGAACACATTGTTCAAACAGAACAAAAAGCAACGCCACTGGCATTTGCTACACATGGGTTGTCGTGGCCGAGTGGTTAAGGCGATGGACTAGAAATCCATTGGGGTCTCCCCGCGCAGGTTCAAATCCTGCCGACAACGGCAGAATGTTTTTGTTCCAGCTGTCACCACAACGTGGTGCGGCTGTTTCAGGTTTCTCATACAGGAAGACTCCTAACAACCAAAGCTGAATTCAGACAATTCTAGTTGTTTCCTCACTAGATATCCACTGATGTGAAATTCTCACAAAGGCTTAAAAAATGTTAGACAGATCAATCCAAAACTAAGAAGGAACAGGTGACATAAAGGTAGAACGGCCTGTTTCCTATAGACAATCATCATTTTCATTCCTGTGATAATTTAAGCATCTTAAAATCCTAAACTTATATACTTTAAGTACATGAGTAATTCTTTTGGATACTTTGCTCTTTGTAAAAAGTGTATGCATTAATACCATTAATTTTAGTAGTAAAACTATAATTTTGACTAAATTTAATGATGTTACTGCATTCTAAAGATTACAATTTGAGATAGCAGTAGGGATGTTTTTTGAATAAATGTTAAAACAACTTAGGAAGATTTGCTTTTCAGACTGCTAGTTTAAAGACATGAAGTGATTACTTTCTGCACAACCATCATGTTTAGCTGATACTGAGTCTATTGCTCTACATAGGACTGTAGCAGAACTTTCTAAATATTTTTAGCCGAAAAAAGAAAAAGAAAAAACATCTGTAAAGACAACTCACTTAAGCCCTCCTCCCTGTTTAAGTGTTTGTGTTGATGTTGTAATTATAATTTCTAACTTTATCTTTATTTAAAGTAATAAAGATAAAGTTCTAAAATATGTACAAGTAGAATAGATTAGGCATGATGATTGTAATGAAATGAATAATATATATAGATATTTAGTACAGTATGTGGTTATGCCAAAATAACACCAGTCTTCGTGTCTCTTTACCCAATACTTTGACATCATATTTGACCTCCTTCTCTCCAGCGATGCTTGTAGCCACACAGATGTAGCGTCCAGAGTCTGAGATGGAGGCTGAGAGGATTTCTAATTTCCTCCCTTGCTCTAGAAGACGAACTCCGTCTCCATGATGCACAGGGACTCCATCTTTCAGCCAGGTGAGGGAGGGCGGTGGGTGACCTGCTGCCTCACACTCCAGGGTCAGATGTTTACTGAGGACCACTTTTCTCTCCGTGGGCCCATCTTCCCCTCCAGTAATGGTGGGAGGCACTGTGGGGAATATATGAAATAGAAGAGGATAAGATGCTACAATTTTCTTGCTTAAGAAATATCGCATTTATATTAACAGTGAATGCTTCCACAAGTAAAAATCATGCAAATCAGGGTGGGGCATGACGTCAAACTAATTATTTAAATTATTTTTAATTATTTAAATTATTTTTATTATTTTATTTCGTAGTAAACACTCTAAAATGCTAACTAACCTAAAAACTTAAGCTCTGGATCAATTCACTCCTATTTTGTACCAAGCAATATTAATTTTCATGAATTCATTAATAAAAAACACAGCCTCTTATTAAATATACAATCTTTTTACCAGGTTGCACCACTAAAACAAGTCATTTTTAATGTTTCACATCTTTATGTTTTTGTTTCCATGTAAGTGTTTATTATGCACAATTTTTCTTCATTTAAACAGACAGGTTAAAGATATAATCAAGATCTATTTAAATGAAAATTAAAACTGAAAAAAAAAAGAAAACTCTTACTGTACACATCCAGCTCAAAGCTCTTCTCTGCACTTCCGGCCACATTGTTAACCCTGCAGGTGTACTGATCAGCGTCAGACGCCTGAACTCGCGGGATCTTCAGTCGGACACCTCTCTCTAGATACTGAGCCTGTCGGCTGGACATGATGGCTTCTCCTCTGCGGTACCAGGTGATGGTGGGATGCGGTACTCCACGTACTTCACACCCCAGTGTTACCATTGTGTGCAGCAGTGCTGTCACATTCGTTGTTAAGTTGCCTCCTATGATGGCAGGAGGCACTGTGACAACAGGATAAAAAAAAATTAATCAATCACAGTAGAATAATTTGGCTTTATCACTACAGACGGAAACACACACCATAAACACTAAGGTTGAAGTCTTTGGACTGTTTTCCAGCTGTGTTTATGACACCACACTGGTAGCGACCCTGGTCTCCAAGTCGAGTATTTTTTATCCTCAACACCTGACCCCTGTTGATGACTTCCAGATTGGGATCACCAAGAAACACCGACCTAGAGAGAAACAGAAACAAGAAGACAGAGATAAAGTTTAATTTTAATGTACAGTTACCCTCCCAGTCAGAGGTTTACATAGGCACGAGCCTCATGTTAATTTTGGGCATTTATCGATACATTTTAAATGTTCTTTTTCAACAACAGTATGATCATACAACATAAAACATGAAAGATTTTTTTAAATCAGGAGTTTGGTGCACATATGTGACTCTACTGTGGATTTTAGAGAAGTCTAAGCTTTCCGCAGGGGCTGAGCCCAGGCCCGTTCCAGATGTTTAAAGTTAGCCGCCGATTTTCTCTATTTCTAAACCCAGCTTTGATGTGTGTTTGCAATTATTTTCCTAATTGTGCTAAAGTTTTAAATATATAGCTGTTGATTTGGTGAAGCTTAAGAGTTTTGGTCCTCTCGCCTTCCTGCATTATTCCCATCACTTTGTGCAATGCACCACCATTGCCACTAAATGAGACCAACATTCCAATGCAACCACGTTGCTGTGATGTTTGCAGAATTAAGAGAAAAAATTTTGGTGCCGACGGTTCTGATATGCTACATAAAGTGGTATAGAAATAAGGAAGGTGGGCTCCACTTGTTTATCCGGTCAAAACAAGCTTTGATATGGAGAAAGCAGAGTGACATAATTCTTCTGGAATGTTCTCATCATCAGCCCTCGGATATTCAGCCAAAACTATGCAGGAAGGCTTTTCAATAGCTGTAAAAAGAATGCATTTTTTTCCTCCACTTTCTGAGGGACATTACACCAAACAATAGTGGGATTGTAAGTATATGTGAGGTTGTGTGTATTTTGACTTTGTGGGTTAGAGAAAATGCAGTTGTGCACCCAACTGTTTGCTTTTTAAAATGCGTCATATCACCATTTCACCCAGAAAACTGAAACAACAAATCATTCAAAGCCCCAAAATAAATATAAAGTTCATGCTTATAATAAGTGCATGTTAACCTCTGATTAGATAAGTATACGGTATATGTAAAAATCAGAATGCACTTACTTTCTGTCTTTGTACCACTGGATTGTGGGAAAAGGTGAACCGTGCACTATGCATTCAAGCGTGAGCTCTTGTTTGAGAATTGCTGAAACATCCATAGGAGAGCCAGATCCTACAATTGTTGGTGGGACTGAGAGAAAGAATCAACTTTATTAGATGAATTTTACAGAAACTTTACTATAAATGCATAAAATTAAGTCTGACCATTTTACCCTAGAGCTCACACAGGGTCTCCGTTTGCAATCAATTCTTTAACATGTCTTCACTTCATCTTATGGTATGTTTTATAGAAGTTTAAACTCTGCAAAGTACTTCATATATGGCTGATATTGAAAATAAATGTTTAAATACTAAATGCTTCCTCTTGAATATACTTTGACTCATAAAAAAAGTTGCAAAAAAAAACAGCATTAACTGTAAACTAGCTGTACATTCAATTGGCAATGTATTAATTAATGTCAGGCTACGGCAGACCCCATGTAGCAATAGTAGTAGAATAGATCCAGACACGTGAAATCTATCTAGATGTACAAACATGCGTCATGAGGACTTCTCCTTGACTTTACTTACCAAGTACATCTAAAACAAACTCTTTTTCTCTGCTGCCTGCAATGTTAATGGCTTTACAGCTGTAGCTGCCTGCATCAGCCGTTTCTGCCTTCAGCAGTTTCAGAGATTTTCCAAGAATCTGGATGCTGTTACCGCCAACAACCTGTAAATTAGCATTAATACATTAAATCAAATGCAACACAGTGACAGAGAGCTCAGGAAATGCTGTCTGGCAGTTACTGGAGCGCATTCTGTTAATAGCAAGCAGATTTGAAAAGCAGCATTAATGTGCGAAAGTGGAAAACACTGTGGAAAGCAGATTGACTTGATTTACATTCCAAATAAATCAGAGCTCAAAGAAAAAGCTTGGATTTTCCTCTCACTGCCTGGCAGAAAACAAATACAGCAGCAGCCAAAACATCAGGAAGTAGCCAGTCTTGCAATAGTTTACCGTGACGATAGTTTTTGAAGCCGGTAATTACAATAAACAGGCATACACCTAATAGGTACATGTTTAAAATCTGTTTTCTTGGGTGTGATTTGAGCATGTACTGCCTTAATGACTGCATTTAAGATCAAATGAGAAAACAAAGCTATTATTGTAACCTATCATCAGCTATGCACAATGTGATTTAATCCTTTCTGAAAGGTAGTTTTACTGTGCTTTGCAATATCATTCAAACTCATTAATGTTAACACATCTTTTTCACATTCCAACCACAAACATCAGCAGTTAGGATTTTATGTGAGATCACCAAAAAGTGTTAAACAATTCAATGTTTTTCCAATTACGAAACTGAAAGAAAATAATTCACAGATTTCAAACTTTTTGCAAGAAAAAAATCGGAAACGCGTTGCTTGAATTTATGCGTGAGTGCAGAAAACGTTAGTGAGTCAACAACCCTTCTCTGCAATCTGGTCTCTGTAGAATAGTGGCAGGTAGAAAAGAGAAATAAAATAAAAAATGGTGTAAGCAGTGCAGACACTTACAGGAGTGCCATCCTTAAACCAGGTGATGATAGGTTTTGGACTTCCCGTGACATCACACACCAAACTGACTGGCTCATTTAGGACTACTGATACATTGCCTGGTGCGTCCCCATCACGAAAATCTGGTGGTACTGTAGATGTGCGATATATTTTTAATATGCTATAAATATTCATAGGAATATATTGCTGTTCAGGATGGTCTGCTACTGTCTGAACTCAATGTCTCTTAACTCAATGAACAGCTAAATCACCATTGACTCTGAGCTGGTACTTTTTCTCGGTGGATCCTGCATCGTTAGCTGCAGTACAGACGTACTCTCCATCATCCAGAGGTGAGAGAGCGGCTAAAATCAGCAGAGTACCATCATCCAGGATGGACACACCGGGCTCATTGCCTGTCAGTTCAACCCCATTACGCAACCAACGGATCACTGGCTTCGGTAGACCTGAAACAGAAGCAAAGAATCACTCATTCATTAAAACAAAAAAAAACAAAACAGCTATTTATTCTCTGCAGCAGTTGCTTTTAGACCAATAATACATGTTGGAAATATCAGTAATTGTTTCAGCAATACATAAATGTGAGAGGGAATGGTGCAGCACCTTTTGCAAGGCAGGGGAAAGCGATGCGCTGGTTCAAAACTCTCTCCTGCAGAGGACTGTTGAAAGGAGGGTCTGGCACCTCAACAACAGGGGGGGCTGACAGGAATAAAATAAGCATTTTATTAAGACGCAGACATTTAACATCAAATTTATTTATTTATTTATTTATTTATTGTTGTTTAGCTTATTTGTTGTATTCTATTTTACTTTTTCTATTTAAAAAACAATATTTAAAAAAAATCAATTAAAATAATCAGTATAATTCACATAGGTGAAAATATAGTTTTTGGTAAATGTTTTCCTTTCATTTGCTAAGTAACTGTTGGCCACTCCTGTAATATTTTTGCTCTGTTTCATCACAGGTAGCCACCATTCTACACCAGTCAAACTGCTTGTAAACACAAACAATCAGCCAATCACATGCCAGCACCTCAAAGCATTCTGGCATCCATATATGTAAAGATGATTACGTTTAAGTTCACATCAAGCATCAAAACAGGAAACAAAAGGGATTTTTTTTTTAATTCACATGGTTGTTGGTGCCAAAGAAACTGGTCAGAGTATTTCACAAACTGCAGATACATGTAGTTCCAAAAACAAAATGTGGTCCAGGCAAGCAAGGTGTACCAAGTAAAGTGAAATAATATAGAGAACCCCACCTTGGACTTGAACCTTAACCTGAGCCTGGTCCCGGCCTGCAGTGCTGGTGGCTGTGCATGTGTAGATTCCTTCATCATCAAGCTTTACATCCCTCAGTGTTAGAGTGCCACCATGTGACACAGGGAAGTTTCTATTGTCTTTGGTCCAGCTGACCGTCGGCTCTGGGAATCCTACCACCACACAAGACAGCTCTACTTGATGACCAACCTGAACCTTTATCAATCTTGGACCTGGCTGGATTTTAGGAGGAACTGTAGGCGAGAGAACAGAGGAAAAGATTTACAAAACCTCTGGCTGCCTTATTTCAAACTACATTTGATTTATTGATCAGAAACATCACTCATTGCAGTGCTAAAATTACTGTGGGTATTGACTGGGCCACTTTGATGGACATAAAGTAGATAGTTGATACTGCAAGTTGTTCAGAAGCTCAGTTTAAACCATTTTACAGCCCATTAAGTAAAGACAGGACATTAATATATTTAGCTGTCTCCCATTTTATTAAATGTTCTTTCAAACATCCAGACTTTCTTGACATCTTTTTAAAGTGGTAAACATCAGTGTTGTAGTTGAAAGTTTTTCTTTGGACATTGATTGTTCTTATTTTCAGCTTTGTCTCTTCATTCAGCAATCAAAGCAACCAAGCTATTTTTTTTCAGCATTTTGGTTAACTCTGAAAACCTTTAGAGCACTAACCTTCACCTGAACTAATGTTTGAGGATAAACTCTAAAGTGCTAATTTACTTTGTTGTTTTGTAAACTTTCAGTTGACTAAAGGCCAACATCTCTATTGAAGGTTTGGTCATCTATGTAGTTACTGACACATGAACATCAGCATGGTTGAAGTTAGCACTTTAGCATTAGCTTCTGCTAAATTCCTTGCTGGTACAATCCTTCAGCATTAACGGAGACAATGTTTATGATTAGAGCTTTTTAGTTAGCTGTGCATACCACTGCTTGTTTCCCTCTCTCTTTGTGGCTAATAACATCAGGCAACTTATGCCTCCACTTCTGTTCAAACTAACTGCTAACACAACAAACTGCATAAAATAATGACATGTGACAATTGTGTTCATTTTCTGACTATAAATCAGATTAAACATTTTGATCAGTTAGGATTATTTCTGATAATTATATAAGAAATACATAAAAACAGTTGAGTCCAAAAATGTTTTTAAAAAAGCTGATTAAATTCATCTTAAAAAGATACTTGGTGTAATTTAAGACATTTACACATATTGTATGTAAAAGTTCTTAGAAAAAGAGCAAATACATTTTCATTCTGTCTCTATAAATAAATGTGGAATACTCTAGTCTCTTTTCATCTTACCTAAAACACTCAGCTCGATGGACAGCGTCACATTACCAGCAATATTTGAGGCAACACAAACATAAAGTCCACTGTCTGAAACTCTAGTCTCAAGGATCTTCATGGATCCAGATGGAAGCTGACGATGCCTGGGAGGATGAAGAACACAGTGCCTTACTGTACACACACACAAGAAACAGCAGCTATAAATTAATCAGTAAAATTAAATCCTTTTCCAAATATTATGCGTCCAAGCTGCCAAAAATGTGAAAAGCGAAGTTACAACCCCTGGCAAAAAGTATGGAATCACCAGTGTTGGATGAGCAGTCATTCAGACATTTCATGCTGTAAAA